AAATCCATTTCAAACTTGAGTAAATAAGGATTCACACCATTGGGTAATAGTCGTGCATATCATTAAAACTGCTCAAAACACGTACCTGCACAAAAAGTGACTATGGACATTGAAGGGGACATTTTATGACAGATATTTAAAAGTCTTTGGAGCAGCTGTCGCACATTTTGAAATGCCCATAACTACAAATGTAGCTTTGTACACAAATCAAGCAATCAAACCTCGAAAACTTTCTGATGTGTCTATGAAGGGATAGCCTGATATGTAGGTGTGAGTGGCGCCCTCGCTGGCTGAACTGCATCAGACACCACTAACGCCTGACTGAATAGTGTATGTCTCGTCGGCAAGATCAATACTGCAAATTTGCAAAGTTCACGCCTTCTTGCAATGAGTTTCATCCATTTTGGTGGTCATGGTGAACCGCTGGAGGGGGTCAGCACCTTATCACACATTATGTCAACAAATAAACTCTGCCGTGAATGGTTAATCATTGATGGCTGTCACTATCTGACGTTCTGACAAAAAATCGTCGGGGCAAGTGAAAACTACATCCTTCTGTCTGGTGTGTGTTGGGTTTGGAGCACCGCAGAAGGCGCAACTCGCACAACCTTGTCAGGCTAATGAATGTTTAAAAATAATGTTTTATTGGGGTAATAATAGTTTGTTTTTTCTCCCCTTAGTTCACGAATACCTCACAAGAATCAAGCTGTCAATCTGAGCATGAATCACAGCCTATTTACACAAGAACTATATTTCACACAGCAAATCTCTCGGATTCTCAGAATGATGATAAACCCAATCATGAGTTACAGCAGGCCATGGAACATGTAGGCCAATTAGAACACCCAACTTGTTGGCATTCTAGAATGCAAGTGGTTAAAATGTAACCAGAAATTTTCAATTCTAGAAGATTTAGTAAATCATGTAAATGATCATCATATACGGCCGGAGAAAGATGTTGAGTATTGCTGTCGATGGAATGGATGTCCCCGAAAGGGTAAAGGTTTCAACGCAAGGTAATGATCTCGGGTTTGGTTTAAATCTGCGAATGTTGTTACAAAATGTGCACGTCAGCATAATCTTTTTATTAGCTCCGCTGTCGACTTTGTCGAGTGGAGCTTATCATATGAGTGATTGTCCGTCGTCGTCCATGTCAATGTTTTACTTTTTCGACTTCTTCTTGAAAACTACAAGCCTGAATGCTTTGATACTTGGTGTGCATGTACCTTGAGTAGACCTCTCTTTGATTTGTTCATTTCATGATAATATCTTCAATTCTCTAATTTTGGTGAATATTTTTGTCATTTTTGATAAAAAGTGATATTTTCAACTTCTTGTTAAAAACCGCAAGTCCAGTTGCTTTGATATCACATATACCCGATTCGGCTGATACCCCGCCCTGGGCGATCTTATAGAGGATTCACACACTCTGCGACAACTGAGTGATCAGCGACATCATTTTGGGATGCAAGTACTTCTTTGCGAAACTTGCTGCGCGGCGATGCTGACATCAAGTGTGTATTTGATCCCAAGTCACGCACTGAACTGGCGCATTACCTTAGCAACCTTTTTCTTTCGTGGTCCGCACGTCGATCTAGTAAAATTGTTATTATATCCGACGGTACTGTAATTATGCAACTTGTATGCAACTCTGTACTGGCTTTGAATATATCAACGTCATTTACTTTGATTGCTTTGATATTACATATATAGCTACTACATGTGGACCTCTCTCAGATTTGTTCATTTTGTGATGATATTTTTAATTGTCTAATTTTGGTGAATATTTCTGTCATTTTTGGTAAAAAGTGATATTTTTGACTTCTTGTTAAAAACCGCAAGTTCAATTGCTTTGATATTACATATGTAGGTACTACATGTGGACCTCTTTCAGATTTGTTCATTTTGTAATGATATCTTTAATTCTCTAATTTTGGTGAATATTTTAGTAATTTTTGGTAAAAAGTGATATTTTAGAATAGAAGTCTGATTGTTTTGATACTATACATATTGTTCATTTTCTAATGATATCTTCTGTTCTTTAATTGAAATGTGCATTGCTTACAGCGGAGCTATCTCAGCCGAGAGGCTGCTTGTTGAATATCCTTGTGAAAGTGTGAAAAAGATTTAGATTGCATTCAAATCATTGATTAGGGATGAGTGTCTAGTCTTTCAACAAGAACAATGTTTCAGTATGACCTATTTGGCAATTATGTGTTCCAACCTGCTTCATGTTGCAATGTTTCAAATCGTGCTGTTCAAAACAAATAACCTATTGTTTTTGCATGATGGGGTAAAGCTGCAACTGAGATAGAGTTTACAAATATTTACAAATTAATCGTTGGTTGTACAAGATGATATGTGTCTATGTTGAAGATCTTATGGGAGCGACCTCTTGCAATTTTGCAAGCTTTTGAAAGTGATCCCATTTCATGCATGCAATCATATAGTGTGACAGAATATGTTGGATTCATGGAACAGTTTGATTGGCAGAACAGAAACAGAAATAAACACGATTATTGTCATATTCAATAAAACAAAACGTAGGTATAACAATATATGTTTTGTGAATAAGTATGGACACTAAAAAAAAAAAAAAAATCATTCTTTCTCAGACTAAATAATTTGCATTAGAATGATCAACAATATTAAATCAGACAATCCCCAGTAGCTAGTATTGCGGGTTGATAATATGCAAATAACACAAGGATTGTCACGACAATACACCTGGTCAGCTCTGTGATGTTTATTCCAACGTTTCCCCCTAGAAATAGGGCTTCTTCAAGAAAACTGTTGTAAAACAAATACACATGTATATACAATGTGTAAATGATTGTGATTGAAATGGTCCAGTGAAAATAACATGATTACAAGTATAATGTACATTGTATTTACAAAAATAATAATAATACTCCAAAGACTTACCTCTGTTGGAATACCGTGAGATGTAAATTGGCATAACCCATACAGAGGGTGGAAACCTATTTATAGGTGTAATAGGTGGCGCTGTTAGATAAATGCGCCCTCACTGGCGGATGTTAATGCCCAGTGGTGTTTGTGTAATCAATTTTTCTATCCATATAGACTCAAGTTTTTTTCTAAGGTGGTCGTCTGTTTTGTTAATTTTTATTATGCCAATAAATGAAATATCGTCTATGTCGTGGTTGGTTTTATTAAAGTGCATGGCTACTGGTGTGTCTTGGTTGTGTCTCACTGTCCATAGGTGGTTATTAAATCTGGTTCTGAGCTCCGTCTTTGTTTCGCCAACATATTGTTTTTGACATCGTTTGCACGTGATGAGATAAATGACATTTCTAGTTGTGCATTAGAATGCAAATTGCAATTCCCATGGTGACTTCAATTTGTGTGAAATCATCATTGCATATCATGTACTTACATACCCTCATCTCATAAATCCTTGGTTACTTTTTCACTTTTTACTTCCAATTAAACTGTATCTTCACAGTCGCTAGTATTTTTACCTTGCCTGTATCATCAAAGATGGAAGGGAAAGATGTATTAAGGGGAAAATGTCTGTCATCATCGTCACTGGCGGCGGCGGCGGCGACGTCATTGTTAATAATTGTTAATGTGTACATAATGACTTTTCTAAGTATAAAATCTTCTCTAAGTTTGAACAACAGATGTCCTGTATGAAAATATCATGCAAAAATTGAGAAATTAGTAGTCAAAGTCTGATAACAATTGTTGGCTGTTTCTGCTTGACTGATCACTGGTGATACATTCAAAGGTCACTGGTCCTTGCATTGCTGTATGTGTTCAATGAAGTAAATCATTTATCTTGTAATATCATTGGTAATGTATCTCTCAAATCCCATGAGAATAGTAGACTGGGTTTCAATGCCAACTCACGGAGAGAGTTGTTGCACAGTCTAATACACGTGTGCAAACATAGCAGTAAAATTCCTAAAGTATCTTATACCAGAAAATAAGATATCAGATAATTGATATAAGCACTCCTATGAATTACCCTTTGGATGCCAAACTTTTAATCAAGATCTGAAGCTGATAGAAAATTATGTCTGTTTAGTCCAAAGTTATCAAAACAAAAATACTGCTCTCTCGATCTGTTTAAATTTACATTCTATGCTCACAATTTTTGAGCATGTGATGTGTTTATGTGTTGCACCCTGGTTGAATGCAGTTTGACATACATATGTCACATGTACAATATGTGATGTGAGTTATACCACAGACTATGAATATTAATTCCCTCGAAAAAGATATTTTTGGTGGAACTTTTGGTAGGCTGCTTTCTCACTGCTGTTTCAATCCTAAAACTTGTTTGTATTCAAAATTAATTATGACAATGCATATTCATATTTCAACAAACTAGGATGAAGGAAATAATATTATATAACAAAGGGCAAGGTCACCAGAGTTATTGTTTTTCAGTTGTTTTTCTGGCTAAGCTGCTCAAACCACGCCTGGCATCAAATTTTGTACATCCCTGATATTTTGGATCGATTCGGTCCCTGCCTGATGTTACGATTTCTCAAATCATATATTAGAAAATGTTGATACGCTACTATTAATTATAAAGGTGATGTTTATTAGAGAGAGTGACATAACATTTACAATATTTTAATAATGAATAATCCAAATTACATAATTATATATTTACTTTTCAAGAAAAATAATAATTTATATTTTAATAATAATCCCGGTACATACATGCAGTTTGTTGCATTTTTTTCAAGTGCACAAACAGTGAATGAAATGTATCACAAGGATTACAAATCATTTAAAGCAGGGGAGTCGTCACCTGCGCATACAGGTGTCTACCCATGAGCCTTTGCGTTGTTAGCGTGTGTTGTTATAATCGTTTGGGACTCAATTCCCGTGCGTGCGCAGGTGACAACCCTCCTGCTTTAAATCCCAAAAGACAATAAATGTAATCACAATGTCTTTATGAGGTGTTTTCTTTTCCAGGTACAAAATGCTAATACACGTACGAACACATACCAATGAAAAACCGCATAGATGCCCACAGTGTGATAAATGCTTCTCAAGGTTAGAAAATTTGAAAATCCACAACAGATCACACACAGGTTAGTATGAGCAAAGTCAGTAGATACAGGCAACCGCGGCAAACATCAAAGGTAGAATGATGTTTCGTACGACATCTCTTGGTACTGTAAAATCTGTATTAAAAGCCACTGCTTTTATTAAAATGATACAATGCAAGAGAGGGGATGCGGCTTCTATTAGAGCATCTACACATATGAGTTTTTGGGTCTCAATTGTTCAAAAAGAATGGGTGCGGCTTCTATAAGGGATGCGGCTTCTAATACAGATTTTACGGAACATCACATTGTATAACGTAAGCGTCTCGGTGCAGGCAACAAGTCCACATTAGCTGTATCACATTATTTCCAATAGTTTAAAGTAACCCAATTTGTAAAATACTCAGTACCAAATATGTTTATAACAAACTACCGTAAAATCTCTATTAGAAGCTGCATCCCTAATAGAAGTCGCACCCAATCTTTTTAGCTTCGCTGTCGACTTTGTTGAGCGGAGCTTATCATACGAGTCAGTGTCAATGTTTTACTTTTTCGACTTCTTCTTGAAAACTACAAGCCTGAATGCTTTGATACTTGGTGTATATGTACCTTGGGTAGACCTCTCTTAGGTTTGTTCATTCATTTCATGTTGATATCTTCAATTCTCTAATTTTGGTGAATATTTTTGGTAAAAAGTGATATTTTTGACTTCTTGTTAAAAACCACAAGTCCGATTGC